GTTTAGACTTTACAACAAATATAGCTGCTTGCCTAGAGAGGTTTTGTGGTTCTCTTGTGACCATGGAGATTAATTGTCTTCCTGGGAAATCAGCTGTTTACGACACTGCTTGCTGCCTTCATTCCCAAAGAAGAATTTTCATTTCTGCCTGGGAATGTCAATTCAGCAACAAACGTCGAGACCGCTAAATGTTCCCCATGAAGTATGGGCTCCCTGACACTGCCTCCAGCCTCCTTCAGTTATTCATTTATTCCCTTCATTGTTCCAGAAAGGCGTTTAGGCAGCCATGGCTGCACCTGCCGCTCAAGAGCATGCTTTGCCGTCAGTCATGCTGCTGGGAGGATGGGATTTAAAAGCAAGACCATTCATTTACTCCTTTACTCATGAATTTATTTAATTGCTACTTCCTGTGCTCTTACTGTGTTTCCGACTCTACTCTGGGCATGGGTGAGACACTAGTGAGCTAACATAGATACCATCCCAAGTACTAATAGGCCACACAGCCTGGGCGGCGGGGAATTAAACAAGGAACCACACTGATTAATGCATATTTTCAAACTGAGGTATTACAAATAACAAAGGAACTGGACTTAGAACAGACATACTGTGAGAAAACCCTATTCATCCATGATCAGGAGGATGTGAGGGCAAGCCGTGTGTGTGTGCGCGAAGCAGAGAGCATCATGGGCCAGAGCCCTGTGGATGAGGGAAGCATGGCTGAAACATTAAGATGGTGCCCAAGGAGGCAGAGACCTGGGCCGGGCCAGGCCACGTGGGAGTTAAAAATCTTGGAGAGAATTTTGGGGACATGGTGAATGCACATGAAAGTTAGCTAGTGGATTTTTAGGTAGAGGGACCTGACGGGGGTTGTGGTTTGAAAAGATAACTGGCTTTCGGAGGATAGAGGGCTAGAGAGGGGCCACAGAGGCGGTAGGAATATTCCAGTTTAGAACCCTGAAGCTGGGTGTTTACGGATCCAACATTCCTGCATGGTTGCCTCACTCCTGAACGCTGTCCTGTGCTGTCTGGGTCCTCCTCCAGGCCCTGCATTCCTTGAGTGTAGGAATGCTGCTTTGTTCACTTTTGGGTCCCTTGTAGTGTCTGACACTGGGATTTGCATATATACGAGGTGTGAGGAAAAAATATGGTGAATGTTTAAATAAAAAAATGTATTACTGTAAAAGGTACATTGCCATTAATCCACCTCAAAATACCCCCCCTTGCTTCAAACACGCTTATCCCATTGTTTTAGCCACTTTCTGAAGCAGCTCTGGAAGTCCTGTTTCATGAGTGTCTTTAGTTGCGCTGTTGTGGCTGCCTCCATGAACTTCAAAACGTTTTCCTCTTATGGCCATTTTGACTTTGGGGAAGAGCCAGGAATCTCACGGTGCCAGATCTGGTGAATAAGGTGGATGAGGGCACGCCATAATGTTTTTATTTAACAGAAATTGCCATATCCAAGAAGTGATGTGTGACCCGGAATGTTGTCATGATGGAGGATGAGACCGCTTGCCCATTTCTCAGGCCGTTTTCTATGCACATAGTTTCTTAAATGCTCTAATAAGCCCTTATAATATTAAAAGTTCACCGCAGCCTTGCTGGGTACAAATTCAGCTCGCACAATTCCACAAAGATCAAAAAACACAATTAACATCACCTGATGTTATGAGCAGCAGCATTCACCGTATTTTTTGATGACGCCTCAGATTTAAACTGTAGCCCTTCTCCATCTCCCAGGACATGTTAGTAGGCTTAAAAGAACACAGCCCTTCTGTATTCTGGCGCTAGCATTATCTAGCAATCTAATTTATCCCTGAAGACAGAGGAAGATCAAAACATACTTGCCTTTTCTTTTGCTAAGTCATATGTGCTTTGCATTTTATTTGCATACAATAATATTGTCTATAAAATGGCCTTTATAGTCCTATCTTCATGTCAACCTATAGCATTGCTATTGTCATTATTATTACTGTCTACTCACAAATGTAATAGACATGTTGGGGGAGATTCGTTCCTGAGAGCAATTTCCTACAGAGGGGAAGAAGCAAAACGATACTGGGAATTTTCTGAATTTGAAAATTAGGAGTTGCAAACATGAGGAAGTAAAGCAGGATAGGGAGTGATGCTGCCTGTGGCAGAACTGGGAGAGCATGATTTATCCCAAAGGGTTCATATTTAAATACAAAATGTACTGTGAAAACCAAACAAAACATTGGTGGTGGTTGTGGGGGGTGGGCGAAGTGCTAAATGACTATGAATTTGCTATTTCTCTTTTAAGTGAGTGAAACTTTTTTTTTTTAACCTAGAAAGTAATAGTAATAAAAATAAAATTTTTCCTTGTGGGTTGTGGAGCAAGCTCTTTTGAGTGACTGAAGCTTCAAAGCTGTGTTGGGTTCAGCAAGGGAGCAGGACCAGAATGCCTCCAACAGTGCCATCTTCTCACATCACTTTGCGAAGCAGGCTTCTGAGAGTCCTCTGGCCATTGTGTCTCTATTTTCTTTCTTTCTTTCNTCCAACAGTGCCATCTTCTCACATCACTTTGCGAAGCAGGCTTCTGAGAGTCCTCTGGCCATTGTGTCTCTATTTTCTTTCTTTCTTTCTTTCTTTCTTTCTTTCTTTCTTTCTTTCTTTCTTTCTTTCTTTCTTTCTTTCTTTCTTTCTTTTCTTTTCTTTTCTTTTCTTTCAGATTTTATTGGGGAATTGGGGAAGGGAACATTGTGTCTTTCCAGTACCCATCAGCTCCAAGTCCAGTGGCCACCCTCAATCTAGTTGCGGGGGGTGGGGGGAGGCTGAGGGGGACAGGGAGGGGCGGTGTCGAAGAGGCAACCTTGTCACTAGGAGCACTCGCTCTCACCAGCTGAGCCATCCTGCCACCTGTTGGCAGCTCAGCAGCAGCTCAGCTAGGGCGCAGCTCACTGGCCCATGTGGGAATCGAACTAGCGACCTTGTTGTTCAGAGCTGGTGCTCCAACCAACTGCACCACCCACCCAGCTGGCCTGTGTCTCTATTTTCTTAATGGGTGGCTCCAGTTTCTCCTGTGTCTCAATCAAATGAATGCATCCAGGAAGGGGAAGATATAGAGCACAGGGGTTTGACAGAAAGGAAGAAGGTCCTTAATGACTTTTGAAATCAGAAGCCATGAAATCATCTCTTTTCACATACCTTCTGGGCAAGTCTCTAGGAGGTAGTTTTATTAGAGACTTTCTCTGAAAGTAAAAAATGAAGGACATATAAATAGCACTGATCCTGCTCCCATCTGATCCTTAGATTAAGATTAGTTTAAGCTCAGGCTGAGAGGTCGGTCACACAGGACATGGTTTTCTGTGGTTAGCAATCACTTAAGTCACACACTCAGGAAACTTATGCAAAGATGCAAAGAATACTTAGATAACATATTTCCAGGAGAAAAATAATTCCAACTCCTTTTCTTTTACCAGAAGTGACCAGTCCTAGTGATTCTATAAAGGAAAGCATCCTTTGCACTGCAGAAATTGGGCCTGTGGGATGGATGAAGTAGAAGAACAGGATTAACTAAGATTACTTTGCTGTTATGCTCTGCAATTTTTTTTTTATTCCTGCTAAAACGCAATGGAGAGTGGCAGAAATGGGCAACAGTGATTTATGTTTGAATCCTGAGTCCTTCAGCAAAACTGATCCTCTTTGGGTTGCATTTATGTGTACCATGAGGATGATATAAATATCTGTCTTTCACATTTTAGTGGGCTGTGGTGAAGAGAAAACTAGATTACGTGTGCTAAAGCACGTCATGATGACAAGATAATGTCATGTTATAGTAATAATAATATTAAAAAAATTATAGCAAACACATAGCACTTGCTCTTTGTCAGGCCCTGTTTTAAGCATTTACACTCATTATTTCACTTAGTTCTTACAGTAACCTTATGAGGTAGAATCTATCTCCTCATTTATAGATGGGAGTAACAAAGCCACAGAACTGAAGTAACTTGCTCAAGACTAGCCAATAAGAATGGGTGCTAGGATTTGAACCCACATAGCCTGGCTGCAGAAGTTAATGCTTTTAATCACTACGGTTAAATAATAATAATAATAATAATAATAATAATAATAATAATAATAATAAAAATAAAAAATTGAAAGCATAGACTTTTAACTGAATGAGAAGATAAGCACTTGAATCCTGGCTTCATGGCTGTGTCACTGTGGCCAGGCCTCTTCAGCAGTCTGGACTTCAGTTTGCCCATCTTAAAATAGAGATGGATAATAATCCCTGCTTTTAGGTGTTTGGTGAAGACAAAATAGGAAAACATACCAAGTTCAGTGATTAACCAATAGGAGGCACACTGTGTATTAGTAGTAGTAGTTATTGGGGTCTGAGTGGTGTGTTTGCCTGCTCAGGCTGCCATAGCAGAATACTACAGGCTGGATGGCTTCATTTATTTTCTCACAGTTCTGGAAGCTGAAAGTCCAAGATCGCGATGTCAGGAGGGTTGCTGTCTGAGGAGACCACCCTTCCTGGCTTACAGGCAGCCTCCTTCTTGCTGTGCCTTCACATATGACCTTTTCTCCATGCACATGGGGAGAGGAGCGAGATCGCCAGGGTCTCTTCCTCTTCTTATAAGGACACCAGTCCTGTTGGATTAGGGTTCCACCCTCATGATTCTATTTAACGCCAGCTACTTCCTTAAAGGTTCTATCTCCAAATACAGTTATATTGGAAGTTAAGGCTTCAACATATGAATCTGGAAGACACAATTCAGTCCAGAACAAATGTGTAACTAGGGAGAGAGAAATAGAAGAATAGGAGGGACGACTGGAATAGTTTGATATTTAAGAAAGTTTTCTTAGGCACCAATTCTAGAGGGAAACGAAGTTGTCAGCTATGTGTAGATATACACTATTATATATTTATATATATTATATATAAATGAGTAGATGTACACTATTCTTGGCACTGTATGTCATTTGCCTTCTATTGGGTGCTGTGGAAAACATCTCTAATTCTGTGTTTGGTCTTTTAGGTGAGCCTGAGTTTAAATACATTGGGAACATGCATGGTAATGAGGCTGTTGGACGGGAACTGCTCATTTTCCTGGCCCAGTACCTGTGCAATGAATACCAGAAAGGCAACGAGACCATTGTCAAGCTGATCCACAGCACTCGGATCCACATCATGCCTTCCCTGAACCCCGACGGCTTTGAGAAGGCAGCGTCTCAGGTGAGTGTGGGCCAGCTCAGAACAGGGCATGCTTTCTTCATTTTGTATATTTGTACCTATGGGCTTATCTTTAAGTAATGCACTCACGTAACGCTTATAGATGGTGCCGTGGAGGATAGAAGTCATGTCATTCAATTTGCGGGTAAGAAGAAATTTAAAAAGGTAAGGGATGATATGGGTGAGAGTTTCTTCAGCAGAGATTGCAAATGAAAAATTTTGTTAATAACTCAATATTTATTCATGTTTTTCTTGTGTTGGTAAGTCATATTTATTCATTCATGTTTATGACTTGGTAAATTTCCATCTAAAAATCTACAAGTACTGCTATGTATTGAAGAGTAATGCCACGCTGTATCTGAATGAGCTGATGTCATAGCGCCCTCTACTGAAACCAAGGAAGAAAGATTTTGGCCAGATTAATGTTTCACTGATGTTTATATTTACTCCTGTCTATGTATGATGAGTAAAGTAAGAAATAAAATAAAACAAAACAGCAACAACAAAAAAGCAAACTCACAGCAAAAACCCTCCCAATTCTAAACTAAAATTAATTTAATACATTTTAATTGTTAGAGAAGCTGGAAAGTAACGATGTTTTAAGAGAAGATATATAGTATGTGTTCCCTTTTTGTTTGGACAGGAGTGGATGACATTATATTGGTTTTTTTTCTACAGCTTGAAATAATTTTCTTTATGGAAACATATTAAAGTATAATTTAGTATGTTGATCTGTCGTTAAGAAGTCAATTTGTACCTTAAAAATAAAAGATCCAGTAACCTGATAGTTTGACATTGTAAGAAACCCAGACAGTGAATTTCTATATATAAGCATAACATTGGTGTAATTTCTAAAGTAATGAGAGAAGAATTCTGGTGGCATAGAGAATTAAATTATTTAATATTTTAAGGTGATATTCAGAACTGTAAGACAGAATGGACAAAAGATTATCATTGCTGTTTTCTACCTTATATGATTGTATTCCTCACAGTCTAAGGTATCTGAGCTTACAGGCTCTCAGAAATATGGAAATTATCTCTATATCATAGATTTGATATAACTTAATAGTAAAACAAAAAATCTGCATTCATTGAATGTAATTGAATATTTTGGAAATTCATTATCTTTCCAGTTATACCACTAGTGAAATGAAGGGTTTCAAGTTGAACAGAAATTTCCCAAAGCTCTAGAACTTTTGTTCTAGAGCTCATATTTTTTCATGAAGAGGGGGTGGTATATTATTATTAATATATAAATAATTCATGTTAAACTCATTTTAAGCTTCTGATCTTATTTAGTAGTTTGTTTTTTTGAATATTTAAAACCAGATTGCTGTGATTTACAAAGGCAATGAATATTTTATTTAAACCTCTGTAGAGTGGTGTGCTTTGAAACCTGTCATCTATTACCAGCTAATATATATTGAAGATAAATATTTTTGTTCGCAATTTGATGATAGATACCTTTTAAATGTTATTATTATTACCATTTAAAATAGTATTTATTGAAAATATTTTCAAAATATCCATAATGATTATTTTAAGATTTTGTTTTTTTTTAAAAGATTTTATTGGGGAATTGGGGGAGGGAACAGCATTGGGGAATCGGGGAAGGGGAACAGACAAGTTACTGTCCTTTTTGTTCTTCAGTCTAGTTGTGGAGGACGTCGCTTCACTGGCCCATGTTGGTATTATCATTGCACTCTTCCTGGCTGAGGCAGAGTGGTTGCCAGCCATTGGCCTGCTGCTCATGGCAGCTCATGTCGGCTGCCGGCTGCTCATGCTGGCTGCTGGCCACACACGTTAGCTCATAGCAGCCCACTGCAGCCTATGCTGTCACCAGTGACTCAGGGCAGCCCAGCTGCAGGTCGAGCTGTTGTTCACCATCTTAGCTGTAGAGGGTGTAGAGGGTCACTGGTCCATGTGGGATCTGAACCAGCGGCCCCACTGCTCAGAGCTCCCGCTCCCAAGCCAACTCTTAACCAAGGAGCCACTTGGCCGGCCCAATTATTTTAAGTCTTACTCCACGTTTATTACACTAAAGTAGTGAAAATGCCATTATGGGAGGATAATAAATAATTAATCTTAATAAATTATTTTAAAAATTATTAGTGGAGACCTTCAACACATAGCAACAATAGTAATAAATAACTGTTTTTTTTTTTTTTCTGATTTTTTTTAGCCTGGCGAGCTCAAGGACTGGTTTGTGGGTCGAAGCAATGCCCAGGGAATAGACCTGAACCGGAACTTCCCCGACCTGGATAGGATAGTTTATGTTAATGAGAAAGAAGGTGGCCCCAATAATCATCTGTTGAAAAACCTGAAGAAAATTGTGGATCAAAACACAAAGGTAGAGACCGTGTCCAGTGTTGCTTGGGTTCTGTCCTCTAGCCTAAGGAGATGTGTTCTAATACTTTCCTCATAACAGAGGATGTAGTAATAATGTAAAAGCACGTATGGGGTAGCTAACTCTGTCTGGGAAGATCAGGCTGCAAAGGCCGAGCCTTGATATAAGTCCTACCCCTAGAAATGGGCAGGGTATTTGGGGGTGAGAGCTGGGGTGGGGATAGCAGAGTGGAACCCAGTTGTGAGTGTTTTAGAAAGTCATCATACCCCTTTCTGAGGCCCTTCATCAGAATATCTGATCAGCTTGTCCTATAGCATTTCACACTGTTGATCTTTTTCATCACGTTCTCCTCCCTTGCTTTGCACAACTCCACTTTCTCTTGCCTCTTTTACTGCCTTTCCAATCGCTATTTGGTGTCTTTCCCTGTTTCTTCTCCCTTGGCTTAAATGCTGGCTTTCAGGGTCCCATCTGCTACCCTTATGTCTTTCCCTAGGTTTCCGTCCTTTCCTGTACCTTTAATGTCTCTCAGATACAAATCGCTAACTCCACCTCACTCATGGAGCTCTATTTCTCTATTTTCCTTGCTTTGGAGTCTCTTTATCTCATGGCGCCCAGAGCTGCAAGCTCAGCACGACTGAAATCAAATATTTTTCCTAAGAAAACACTGTTTTCTCATTTACCCAATCATCAAAGCCTTGATTTTTTTCATCTCTGTCCCCACTCACCAGCAATTAGCTACCAAATCTCAGTGATTTAACCTCCCTAACTCCTGTCCAATTTTTCCCTCCTCTGTAAACTCACTCCACTGCTTTAGGTCAGGTCCCCATCATCTCCTGCTCCGACGAGTGCAGTAGCTCCTTATTCTTGTTGTGGGTCCAGCTGCTCCTACTCCATTCAGTTTTCTCGAATTCCTCCAGAGTGACCCTCACACAGAAATTATTGCTGTGTTGTTTAAAAAGCCTTGTCAACACTCACTGCTCAGAGGATAAAGTAAAAACTCAATACGGCAGAATTGTATGACAGTTTAGCATGGAGACTCTGGAGTCAGCCACCTTGGTTCACATCCTGGCTCCACACTTTCTGTGTGAGTTACAGAAAGTTATTTAACCACTTTGTGCCCCCACTTCTTCATCTGAAATGTAGAGATGATAATAGTATCTATCGCATGGGGTGGTTATGAAGATTCAATGAGTTAATACATAGAAAGTACTTAAGGTCAAACCCAGAACTATTATTATATTATCATCTCAGAGTAAGTTCTCAGTACTTTCTGTTATGAACCTCAGGGTTAGATGGACACAGTGACATCGCCACTACACATGTGGTGCTCCTACAAAGCAATATTGTTGGAACATTGTTTTCAGTTACTCGGAGGACAGGTAGAGCCCTTCACGGAGGAAAGGTGGGAACTGCTATTGGCTGCTTTCAGTTCCTCTTCTATTATTTCAGGCAGTTGTGCCCTGGTTATCTACTGCTTCTAGTACCTTGGTATCTTTCCTAAGCGAGAACTTGGAAAGTCCAATTTTTTCCATTTCATTGTAGTTCCAGAGCCTTTCAAGTTTTCCTTGGCCTCTGGCAGCTGCTTTCTGGCCTACTCCTTAATCTGGCTCTAATATTCCATACACTGTCATCCACCAACTCCTTTTTGCTACCTAAGCATACCATTTTTCTAAGAATTTTATGTCTTCGTATGTGTTATTGTTCCAGCTGTCTAGAATATTCTTCCTTTAGTTCCATGTCACCTTTTCTGTGAAGCTACCTCTGCTATGTCAGACAGGCCCTGTTAAGCCTTCCTTTACATTCTTTGTATATACATGCTTCCAGTATGGTGCTTATGGTTACATGGAACTTCATATATGTTATAATTATTTGCTTATATGGCTGTGTTTCCCTTCGATTCTAGATTTCAATCCCTTCATTACAGGGATTACAATTCATAGTTGAGTCTGACACGTAGTAGGCTGAGGGCCTGTTAGGAGTGAATGCATTCCAATCTGGCAAGCAAATCACAATACATCTGAAAAATGTAACCATTAAAAATCAACAGCTGGAGCTCCACACAGCCTTCACCGTGTGGTTGGGACACTGGGTGGAGGATTCAGGAGATAGGGAGTCCCAGGTTGTTGGTTGTGAAGTTCTTAAAACTCTCCTGCCTGTACTTAGGATTCATCCCAGAAACCTGGGCTGAGCCTACAAGTGGAGACCTGTATGAGAAAAGGGCTGCTAGGGGCTGAGGAGTCTGGCAAGACTTGATAAGTGGGTGACTGAAACATTCCTGCTTCTGAGTCACAGATGCATTTGCAGTTTCTCAGTCCCCCAGCCAGTTTTTTTTGGAGCAGAGAGGGGAGCTGGAAAGGCAGAGGGCTCGGGGCAGGCTGGGGTAACCAGAGGTGAAAAGAGGGCAGTGCCGTGTGATGAACTATGAGGGTTAGACAGAAATGAAAAGCTGTTATGGAAGCCCAGTGCTGATATTAGCCCACACACTTTCCCATGGCTTGCGTTAACCTGCCTCTGCTGCCTTTGTTAAATTTAAGAAATGAGAAAAATAATGCCTGTCACCTATCATAGAAGAATCGAAAAATAAACTCAAGCCGACAGGATATTTCGTTGGCAGCCTTTGTGCAAGTGCCATTATTATTCAGCCTGTGCTACCTTTTTCTTCCCCAACTGGACCTATAGCGTACTTGTACAATCTCTGTATTCGATGTTTTCATATTTCTAACTGAAGGAATCCTTATTTCAAAGAGGCACGTTCATGGTACTGTTAAAATGTTAAAGGTTTTATTAAAAACAAAATCTCAGTGCCAATACTTTATCTGGGTAAAGGTAAATTAAAGAGAAATATAGAAAAATGAAAGTTTAGTGTCTTGTCTGGAACAGAAGTAAGGTTTGCTTACTTTACACGAAATCTTCCGTAAACCTGTTTCATCATCATGGGATGATATTGCCCACATCTGGCTCATCTCCTTTCTCCATCTTTGTCGCTAAGACCGAGACAGTGTTTTTACCCGGCCTGGTACTAGACATAGCCGGCATTTCATTAATGGTATCACACATTCTCCCTTTCCCAAGTCCCCTTCTCAGCCTAATATTTGTATCCCTTATAGTGGTTTCTAAATTCCTAGGTTTATGTTTGGTGTGCCGGGAGTCAGGGGTTCAAATGCAGATTCCTGTGGGTTCCCACTGAGGGGGTCTGGGTGTGTGTGCTGCAGGGGTGGGTGATTGGAAGGAATCGTTATTTTTACCGGGCTCTCCAGGTGCTCGTCTTGCTCTCCTGAACCTCTGAAGAACAGCTCTCTTGCTCTCCTGTAGCTCTTCCTGTAGCTAAGTCTTTTCTCATCTGCTGTCAAGCTCTTCAGTTGGGTCACTGCCACTGTTATCTGAGCTCAGAACGCTGAGCCTTGGCCTGGAAACAGAGTGGATTAAAATAAATCAAATAATTTTATTAAATTTATACTTGCCTTTAATGGCTACAGTTGTGAAGAAAACAGAATAAATATAGCTTTAATGTATTTTAGGAGTCAAAGCTAACTAATTGTAGAGCATAACATTTGAGCTATATTTACACTCTTTAAATGGAAGTTTTAAAGATAGGTCCCCGTTGGCCCTAGATTCTGTAAAGGGCTTGATCATAGAGTGCTCCAGAAGCTTCTCTATGGGTCACTTAAGTATATAATTATATCACCTAGGGGGTCTCAGCATTCAGTTAGCTTAAAAGACTCTATTTATGCTCAAACAAAAACTTAGTTTAATTTATTAAACTGTGGAATTTGCTTGATTGCTTTTGAGTGTCCTGGTAATTAGCAAGCAGTGTACCTGTTAGAACTAAAAACAGACCAAACCTCATAGCCCCAGATGACTTCGTGTATCCAGAACTGTATCTTTAAACTTGTTTGAAAACACAGTTTCTTTAAAAAGTTTATTTTATTATGAAATTAATATTTTATTGCAAACAAAAAGCTAAAGCAAACATAAATAAGGAGAAAAATAACCTATTAGCCTATAGTTTTAGATGACCACCATTCATGTTTTGCTATGCATCCTCCAAAATTATTTTTTTATGCATGTATCAAGCTATACATAAATGGAAGCATGCTGTGCACACCCTTTGGAACCATTTCAGGTGAATAATCAATGCAGAGCACAGCCTACTGCAGAATGGCTTTGCCTCCTGAGGCAAACCAACCCTTCGCCCAGGGAGGGTTTGCTTACTTGGGTACTGCCCCCCCCTCCTTATTTTTACTACTCTGTCTCCCTTCTCCTCTTACCCAAATCTTTATTTTTTTTGTCCCCTGAGACATAGTGAAGTTCCACCTTCTTCCTGGAGTCCTCACTGATTCTCCAAATCATAGCGAGTTCTGTCTCTTCCGAACTCATTGAAATATTTGTCAGTACCAAACATTGGGTTTGAGTAAATAGAGAAAATGAGGGAGATGTATGAGGAAGAGAACTGAAAATAAATTCAGCTGCCAAAGAAAAACGTTTGAACAGAATATTAAAGAAGGATGTGTTTTAAACTCATATAATTTTAATGCCCTTTTGAGCAATTGGGCCTAATACACTATAAATTAATTGCAAAAAAAGCATGCACAGTATAGATTTTTAAAATCTCCTATAGGAGTTATTTTTAGGTTGGTTTAAGTAAAAATTTAAGCTGGATTTAATTGAAATTAATTTGAACTCTAGAAACAAATTTAATTATGTCTGTTATTATGGAAAGAATGTATTATTCAATAAATAGAATTGAGACAAATCCATCTCACAAATGTCAGCATAGATCAAAATAAAGTCTCAAGATATTACAATTTAAAAAGTATGAACCTAGGTAAATGAAACTTTGGTAAATATATAAATTTTTGGAGGGGGATTGAACTTTCTAAATCTCTTATATAGAAACTGGCACGTGAAGGCTACATCCTAGTTATTGAATGAATGAATGAATGAATGAATGAATGAATGAAATATGAAAGCCAAGGAAGAGACCATAAGGAAAAGATCCTTTGGTTTTACAATGTAAATATCTTAATGTTCTGCATTTTAATTATTATTAAATTTAAATGGCAAATGGCAAACTTGGAAAATATTTATAATATGTGGTAGATACAGGAGTAATGTTTTTACTCAGTAAACAACTCTTGCAAATTAATAAGAAAAGATATACATTTCTATAGAAAAATCAGTTAAATCATGTATAAATATATTATCAAAGAAAAAATATAAGTGGTCATTAAACATAAAAAACCTCTTCTGGTTTTATTAGTTAATCAAAGAATGCAAATTTAAAAAATTCTGTTTGTCATGTATCAAAGTGACAAACTTAAAAACACATATACAATATCGATAGGAGTGATTAGAAATGGGAAAATTAACATACTGTTGCTGGGTATTTTGTTGTATCTTACGGAGAAGCAGTTTGGGATACATTTAATGAAATTTTAAAATGTGCTTAGCTTTTGGTCAAGTCATTCCATTTCTAGAGATTTCCCTATAGATCTGCACAAAGAGTAGCTGAAAAGAAGTTTGCAGTAATTTTTTTTCATGTAAGCAACCCAGTACCCAATCATGGGAGATGTTTTTTTTCCAGCTTTATTGAGGTATAGTTGACAAAAATTGTATATATTTTAGGTGTACAACATGATGAAATTGATATACATATACATTGTGAAATGATTACCACAACCAAGCTAATTAACATGTCCATCTCCTCACATAGTTTTGTGTGCGTGTGTGTGTGTGTGTGTGTGTGTGTGTGTTTTGAGAACACTTGTGATCTACTCTCTCAGCAAATTTCAAGTATGAAATCACCATGATGCACATTAGACCCCCAGAGCTTATTCATCATATAACTGAAAGTTTGCACCCTTGGCGGACATCGCCCCATTCCCCTACCCCTCCCAACAATTCGAGATTGCTAGTGTCAGTGCAGTGGCTCTGGAGCCGCACTGGCTGGGCTTGAGTCCAGGTTCTTCCACCTCTAAACTGAGCGACCTCATGCCTTCCCCTGACGTTTCTGTGCCTCAGTTTATTTGTCTGTGGGGCCGGCCGAGTGGCTCAGTTGGTTAAGAGCTCGCTCAAGAGTTTGAGCTCTGAGCAACAGCGGTTCGAGTCCAGCCCGAGCTGAGCAGCCGCTGAGCTGCCAACAGGTAGCAGGATGGCTCAGCTAAAAAAAAAAAAAAAATAATATTTGTCTGTAAAATGGGGGTACCTGTAGCCCCAATCTCCTAGGGCGGACGTGAGAATTCAGTGTGTTACACAGAAAGTGTTTAATAAGTATTAGCTGTTATTTTGTTGAAGAATGAACATGCATTGGAGACTACTCAGCCATTAAAATAATGACTTAGAAGGGTATTCAGAGACATGAAAAGGTGTTTGATAGCTGTTATCAAGCAAAAAAGACAGGGTACACAATGATATATAAATTATTACATTTTAAAAATTATGTAAGTGCATTGGAAAAAGACTGAGAAAGAGAAACATGAAAATGTTAGCAGTGGGTATCTTTAGGTAGTAAAATTATTGGTAATTTTAACTTTATTTGTGTTTGTCTCCTATACATTTTGTACAAAGAACATTTTTGTGTGTGAATAAGATAAACCAAACAAATAATAATGAAAACAACACCCTATTCTAAATGACACTTTTCCACAGTTATGAGTACCCTATGTGAAAAATAGAATAGTTTTGATACATTAAAGCTGATACACTAAAAATAGCATGGGCTTTATGGTTTCGTAGACTGGATTGACTCTTTAGCTGTATGAACTTGGACATGTTATTAATTAACACAGCCAACCTTCAGATTCCTCCCTGTGAAATGGGGATGAATATCTTTGTCTACCCAGTGGGGATGGTGTGAAGCTCAATAAAATAGTGCATGTGAGAGCTACTCATAAACTGAACAGAGATATACAAGTACAAAGTTTTATTATAACCATCAAACCCTACTGATGCTGTTGGATTTTCTGTCCCAAAGAACAGAAAGGATCTCCAGTAAAGCTTTTATTTTTATTTTTTTTAATCAGAGAAGTACTTGGGAATTTGAGAGCCTTCCTAGTTGCTATTAAAAACTCATCACATAAAAATATGAAGATTTTGGCTCCAGATGAATTCTTTGGTGTAAATTTCTTTCCTCCTTTGTTTTGCTTCCAAGATATGAAACGTTGTGAATCATTCAAAAGACAACATGCATTCCTGAAACTTTTGCCTTTGTTTTAAAATTTACAAGGATCATCCCAAAGTAAACTGATATTTTACAGCAAGCTCTGAAAGAGAGACCCAGTCTAATATTTTTCACAGGGACAATGTTTAAAAAGGTGGAAGGGAATGGGAAAATTAGTACGTAGAAATTGGAAATAAAATCTACCATGTGTTTCTAGAGCTGAATCACCATAGAGAAAGAACCCTGTTCTGTGGTGTTAAAAAACAAAATTTAACTGAGTAAATTTGAATATCTAATTGGCTTTATTAAATGATTCATGTACCCATCTAGCCACTAGAAGGGTGCTTCAAGGAGTTGTACAAAATGCAAAGTTTTTATAGGAAGAAGGATGGGGCAAGGGAACTATTAACAAAAGAAAAGAAAGGATTGATTTTTAGAACAGGACATCTTCTTTTGGGGAGAAGGGAACAGCAAGGTTTTTTTTTCATACAGAGCACCTCTTCTTTCTCTGCATGAAGGAGAGGGCCCACATGGCAGATTATTTTACTGGTGCTTTACCATAAAATTCCAGACTGGTTGCTTAAGTCTGGGGGAGGTTGAAACAGCAATAGGTCAGGTATAAAATCTAGGTTTGGTATCATAGGCTTTAGCACAAATGACGCCATTTTGGGCCCGCGGTTTTCTGTTTAACACTGGTCCAACTATTTTCTTTTCTTATCTTTAGTTATTGTTAACACTGAAACATCAGATGGAATATTCCAAAATTTGTAAGTGATTGGCATGCTGGTTTTCACAGAGAGAAAAACTGACAGGCCACAAAAGTAGAACTTGTAAGGAAATTTAAACACTATTAAAATATATATATATTTTTATTGTAAGCCTGAGGAAGATAGAGATGGGGAATGCTGTTTATATAGGAACGTTTTTTTTTCTATGTAAACAACCAAAAAGTAGTTGACTAGCTTTCAGTTCTTTTTTTTTTAACCCTTTCTATGTCTTTTCTGTCAAGTGATCTCACCAATGATGACCACATTTATAATCTTTTTAATCTCTAATGCTTAATACAGCTTGCACCTGAGACCAAGGCTGTCATTCACTGGATTATGGATATTCCTTTTGTGCTGTCTGCCAATCTCCATGGAGGAGACCTTGTGGCCAATTACCCATATGATGAGACCCGGAGTGGTAAGTGGTTTTCCTGCTTCTCTGATTGGTTTAAGGGTTACAATTACTTTACAAGGCTCTGCAGGATGATTTCTACAATATTCTTCTAAAGAATTGGTCATAAAGTGATTTTGCCTGTAGAAATACATATGTTTAACAGGAACACCCCCTAACTGTTTCATGTGGCATTGGCACATATATTTGGCAGAGAAGGACTGTAATTAAAAAAAAAAATTAGCTGAAGAGAAACGTAATCTTGACAGAATACTCAGACAAGAGTAAGGGAGATAACAGAAGCCATAAACTTGGCTCACTTTTGGACCCTGGTAAAATGGAGAGGTTATGGATGTTATATAGGTCTGTATACAAGATGGCTTTAAAAATGGAGGCAGCCTCTAGTTGCTTGACCAGGGCCCATGTAGATCTCCATGTGTCTTATTGTTCTCTCATCCTTTTGCATTTGGAACTGTTGGTAGTTGTGTCAGGGAAGAAAGTGGAGCTTTGATTTTCTCTAACAGGCTTTAGTTAAGGTTCAGGCATAGCAAGCTTTAGCTAAATAGATATTTTCAGCTTAATTCTTGTTGCTCCAGAAAATTTCCTGCTTTGGATTGATCCTCGGGATACTTTACAGAGTTAGTTCTTTGCAAACACAGGATGATAATTTTAGGGACTGGAAAGTTCAAGTTTTGAAGAAAGTCTTTGGTGAAACATTATTAAAATTTATGGCTTTTGTGTTTTGTCAATAGCTGGGAAATTTAAAAGCCTGGCATATTTTATAATACATGAATCAGAATACAGTATATCAAAAATATATTATTTATTTCCATAATACATATAGGAAACTTTTAAAAATTCTAAATTCAGATACTAAAGGTGTGTGAAACAGTGGCTTGTAGTGGCTATCAGTTTGTTATAAGTACATTTTAAAATAAAAAAATTCAATTACAGTTGACATAGTATTATATTTATTTCATGTGTACAACATAGTGATTAGACATTTATATACCTTACAAAGTGATCACCCTGATAAGTTTGGTACCCACCTGACACCATATATATTTATCACAATATTATTGAGTATATTCCCTATGCTGTATGTTATATCCCCATGACTATTTTATAACTGCCAATTTTACAAATACATTTTTTTAAATTTAAAATTGTAATAATGGATGCCTCTTTACTGTTCTCCCAGGCCCAATGAGCTTGTCACCTTTTCTTTTGAAGCTTTAAAATCATAAGTAGAATGCACATTCTATTTAATTTTTACTTTGTGGTGTTAGTAGTGGAAGTTATGTTACCTGGAAGCTGTGTGTAATTGTTTTTTTTTTTGTTTTTTTTTTAAGATTTTTATTGGGGAATTGGGGGGATGGAAACAGTGCTGGGGAATTGGGGGAAGGGGAACAGACAAGTTGCTGTCGTTTTGTTCTTCAGTCTAGTTGTGGAGGACGTTGCTTCACTGGCCCAAGTTGGCACCATCATTACACTCTTCCCGGGCGAGGCAGATCAGTCGCCGGCTTCTGGACGGCCGCTCACTGCGGCTGCTGGCCATATACGGTAGCCCATGGCAACCCACTGCCACAGGGGCTGCAGCCTACACCGTCGCCGGCGACTCATGGCAGCTCAGCTCCAGGTTGAGCTGTTGTTCAGCATCTTAGCTGTGGAGGGCAGTGTCACTGGCCCTTATATGTGGGATCTGAACTGGGGCCCTCTGGCGTCCCAAGCCAGCTCTTAACCATCGCGCCACTCCGCCGGCCCCAGCTGTGTGTAATTGTTGAGTACTTACACCTTCACACCTTTTCCATAGTGATGCAACGAAAGAAATACATCAGCAAGAGATCAACAATGAATCACCCTTCAGAAAACACACAGTGCTCCTTGGTCTGTGTCCATTTCTTTAAACTTGTGTGCTTGTTTTCTAGGCAGTGCACATGAATATAGCTCCTGCCCAGATGATGCTATTTTCCAAAGCTTGGCTCGGGCATACTCCTCTTTTAATCCACCCATGTCGAACCCCAATCGGCCATCATGTCGCAAGAATGATGATGACAGCAGCTTTGTAGATGGAACAACCAATGGAGCTGCTTGGTACAGCGTACCTGGCGGTGAGTTTCCGTTTTGCTCTTTGATTACGTGATTCTGGCTTATTTATAATTACCAGTTGGATTTAGAAAATCTTAATTCCTCCCCAGTTACTAGGAAATAGACTGAATCTATAGTTCATCCATTAAAATTAGTTTTCTGCATGAATGATTCCTACGTGTAGTTTTGTTTTTATTGATTTTTAAAAATCAAGATGCTAATTGAAGAGATAAGGGAAATGCATTGAAGACGTCCAGTGGGAAAATATAAATTGAATATTGTTAACTACTTCCCAAATTCTAGACTAGGGAACAAGGTAGCATCTTGATTATTTTAGTCATGCTTTGACTGTAGGTAAATGTATATTTCAGAGGACAGGCTTTGGCCTTTAGCTTGCCTGGGTCCACACACCTTTTTTGTTTTTGTTTTAATGATGGGATAACAGAGACTATTTGATGTGGAATATTTATTTTATATTCATTACTGTTATAAGTACTATTAGATCAGGAAGCTCTTCACCATTTATGGGGTCTGAAAAGTGAAAAACCTACCACAGAATAGCTGCTGGAGGATGCACCGTCTAGAAAAACAAGGCAGCTCTTGTGGTCCCCTTGCCCCAACATGAACTGTGCAGAGCTCTCATTTTTAGGACTCCCTGGACCAATCACAGTTGTGTAAGACTTGCCTCTACTAAGGATGAAGAGTGGAATTGAGACTCTGATACTTTTTTTCCCCTTCATTTTCTCTCTTTGACTAAAAACAATTTTCTACAGCCTACCTGTAAAAGAAAAAGATAATTAGGGCAGTGGCAGCACTAGCTAATTATAGGGTTTTGGTTGAATATGTTCCTTTTGCTGAATTATGCCCTGAGAAAAATATTCTTCCTGATTTTTTTCTTTCTGATATATTTTTATTCTGTTTAAATTAATATTTTACATCAGGCCAGATCTAATTTAGTCCTCCCCAGAATAGCTTGAGAAATAAGGTCTATGTCAGATTTTAGGATTTAGACTGTGTCAAATACATCAGATGGGGAGTGATTTTATACTTCAATGTTTATAAAAAAAACTTCACTAATTCCTTCGGAATTACCTTTTTTTAACAAGTAGTGCATTATGCTGGGGGTGCCAAAAATGTATACATTTTAAGAGATGTTATCTATGTAATGCTTTTCAAAGTTGAATTGAATTACGGTAGCAATGTGTAGTTTGACGTTCGCTCAAAAGATGGTGTTAATCAAATGAATGCTAGCGTCATTCATTATGTTACAATTTTAATATAGTTTTTTTCTTTCTTAAAATATGTATGCATTTCTTTGGCACCCTCTATAAACAGAATACCAAGCAATCTATATCAGTAAAATAATGATAATAATACTAGTAATAATTTTAATCATAGTCAATATGTTCCATAGTAATCAAGCAGTAAAAGAAAGCTTTGACTTTCTTTATTCTCTATGTAGTGAATAAAATCAGTGTCTTAGGTCAGGTGCTCTAGAAGCAGAGCCTGAGACAGGGATTTAAGTGCTCATAATTTATTGAGTTCTCTTTAGGAAAAATCCTGTATGTAAGTGAGGGAAGCAGGGTAAAGAAGGGGACAGAGCTGAGCAAGGATGTGGGCCCGGGTACAGTCTAGCCACGTCCTGCCTGAGCCATTGGAAGGAGGGCCTCAAGCATACATAAACCACAGGCAGGGCTGTCCTCCCTTGAGGCCAGGGAACCAGCCTTTGGTCACTCCAAATTACTCAGTCATTGGTTGTAAGACCTTTTTCCCCCCTTAATGTAGGCATTTATCACAATAAACTTCTCCATGAGGACTGCTTTTGCTGCAGCCCATAACTTTGATATGTTGTGTTCCTATTTTCATTCGTTCAAGATATTTGGTTTCTCATTTCCTCTTTGACCCATTGGTTATATTCAGAAGTGTATTGCTTACTTTTTTATATATTTGTGAATTTATAAACTTTGATGCATTGGCTGTCTTATCTTAATATAATGACCTTTGTCTCTTATTACAGTTTTTAACTTAAAGTTTATTTTGACTGATACGAGTGTAGCTACTCTTGCTGTCTTTCGGTTTACATTTTAATGGAATATCTTTTTCTAGTTCCTTCACTTTGAGCCTATTTGTGTCCTTAAAGCTGTTGTGAGTTTCTCATAGGCACCCTCATATAGTTGGGTCGTATGTTTTTATCCATTCAACCACTCCATGCCTTTTGATTTGAAAATTTAATCTATTTACATTTAAAGTAATTTTTGTAGGTAAGGACTTACTAGTTCCCTTTTTCCTTACTTCCTGTCTTGCTCTGTTCCAGTGTGAATTGATGATTTTCTGTAGTGGTGTGCTTTGATTCCTTTATCTTTAACTCTTTTGAATCTACTGTAGATTTTTACATTATAGTTACTACGAGGCTTACCTATGGCATGATAGTCAAAATTAAGCTGGTAATATCCTAACTTTGGTCACAAACAAAAACTTTACACTTTTACCTCCCTTCACCCACCTTTTATGTTTTGATGTCACTTCTTACGTCTTTTATATTGTGTATCCGTTACCAAATTAGTGTAGCTATAGTTATTTTTAATATTTTTTCCTTTAACCTTTGTACCAGAGTTAAGTGATTAACACACCACCATATTACAGTATTCTGAATTTGATTATATACTAACCTTTACCAGTGTGTTGTATTTTTTTTTAATGTTTTCATGTTACTAATTAGGTCTGTTTTGGCACTGAGCTATGCCACCTTAGAGAAGGTGAAGTGAAACTGTTCCTCCTACCCTCTTCAATGTGTTTGATCTTGGGTTTTTTTGTTTTTTGTTTTTTTTTGCTCTAACGGTGTGCTAGAAATTTTCCATGGGAATACTGGACTTTCACGAAGGCACTGTATTCATGGATGATGGTGAAAATCGTTTTTCTTTGGGGAGGGAATGGTGGAACACGCCAATTTTGCCATTTTGGTGATGTCACTCCCCTCTTGTCTTCTTTGAAGCTGAATCCAGCAGTCCGGCCCGCGGCCAAGGCTTACTTGAGCTCCCTACAGCAGCAATGCATTAAGCTGAATTATTACTTAAGAACCTGAGAGGGTTGGTGCTTTTAAGGTAGTAACAAGCTCCCAAATATGTTGTTCTATCCCTCACGGAATGCGATTTTCCTTGTGGTTTCCCACAGGCTCCCCAAAGTGCACTGGTTGGCGTATTTTTTAACACTTGGCTCTCAATTCAGCAGAACAGCCTGTGTAGGGATTTTAGTCTTTGACTTTCCATTTGGTGTTTTGGCAGGAATGCAAGACTTCAATTACCTCAGCAGCAATTGCTTCGAGATCACTGTGGAGCTTAGCTGTGAAAAGTTTCCACCTGAAGAGACTTTGAAGAGCTACTGGGAAGATAACAAAAACTCCCTCATTAGCTACCTTGAGCAGGTAAACTCAGCTTCCAGTGTAAAATGGGAGAGTTAAGAGCATTTAAACCCGATTTGCGATAGTCTCCGAAGGGGAGCCCAGTCCAGGGGAATCCATCTGACTCAGAATGAGGATGCTACATTTGGAAAATGTGTCAGTAGTGGTTCAAATAAGCTTTCATTTTTTCATGGATTTTGTGGTTCACGAATATTCACTGAGAAATGATTAAGCTAGAGGGTTGTGGGGAAGTGAAATAAAACTCTCTTTTCATGTGTATTGCTCTAAGCAAGGGAAACCCTAGGGCCCTTCTCCACCTTGATTACCTTGGTCTTGTCAGACATCCCAGGCAGGACCAGTGCTAGAATGAGGTAAGTGAGGCACCTAGGACTTAAGGAGGCATTCACTCTCAGGGTTGTACAAGTATGAGGTAAGCATCTAGGAGTAAGTGCATCCTTAAATTTTGTGCCCACATGCCTCACTTGTCTCACACTCAACTCAGCTGGATCTGAGGGGATAATGATAATAATAATAATAATATCTTCATTTATTGGGCATTTATTGTTTCCTAGGCATTCTTCTAAATGCCTTACATGTAGCAATTAATTAATTAATTAATATATTTAATCCTCACAACTCTATGAGGAAAGTTATACTGTCATCATCATCCCTGAATTAAAAAACGAGGAATCAGAGGCACAGAGATGTTAAACAGTTGCCTGAAGTCCCTTAGCCAGAATCCAGTCTGTCTAGTTCCGGAATCACCATATCTTATTGCCTCTCATGATATAAGCCTAGATCTTTACCTGAGTCATTTATGTAGCTATGCCAATGGGGTATATACAGAATTTTGGAGCCTCTCACTGTTTGTTAGAATAAAATACCTTACCTACTCAGACTTAACCCAGGCCAGTCCCCTGCCAACCCCACCCCTGTATACCCTGTAGACATTGGCATCAGGGCAATGGTGGTAGGAAAGACCTAAAGACTGTTCCTTGCTTGTCGTGCCTTGACAGTTTTCAACTTCCATTCTGTACGTGGCCATTTACACCCCAAACCAAGTAGAGTGATGTTAGTGTCACATGCAAGCAGATAGTTCAGATTAATTTTTAAACTAATTTGACATAAATAAATGCTGTTAAATAACCATATAACTATATGCATAGACACACACACACGCACACACACACACACACACACACACACACACGTGGAGGGGTGCCAAAAAAATGTATACAGGTGGACACTTTGTTCAGCGTTGCTCAAGCAGTAGTTTGCCGTAATCAGAAGTGTCTGGATGCTGATGGTAACCACTTTGAGCACCTCTTGTAATTGTGGAAATCAAACATGACTTTTATTTATCTTTTGTTGTCGGTATATATTATTACAATTAATACCGTTTTTTCCTTTCTTAAAATGTATATACTTTTTTTGACACCATATATATACACAAACACATACACACACACACACACACCCCACACACATACACATACACACACACATATACATAAACATACATATGGACCCAATGTTTTAAAAAATGTAAAATCAGCTTAAAAATTCTTTACACATGTCAAATATCCATATACGGGATCTTACCAAAAGGGACTATCATGAAATAGATCCACTGATGATAGACAATGATGTTAGAAAACCACCCATTAAACAGGCTTTTTCAATCAATGGAATCCTATTGCATGTTAATATTAAAATGTATTTTCAACAACAAAATAGGATAATTAGTCACGTTGACTTTGGAACAACCCCTGTAGAACATTTCCTTTGAGGAGAGTTATATTTGGATAGATGTTCTAAGAGCAAAGTTAACTGAGAAACGTATTTTGGGGAGGTAGAGGAAGTAAGACAAGGGTATTTGGTGTGTTCTCCACTTAGATATTAAATAATGCCTCCTTAGTACAATGCTTTTCATTTTATTTACATATTTTTTTTCAACAAAAATTAATTGCGCTACTTGCATGTCCCTGGCACCCTGTGAGGCACTGGGACTAGTGACCACTCTCAAGAAGGCTTAATATTTGTGGAGTTCAGAAACATGAATACCTAATTAGAAGAGAATATAATAAATGCAAAAATAAAGGTTAAATACAAAAAACAATGACAGTGCATAGAAGGGTCCCTAACCCAGTCCTGGGGACTCAGAAAAGGCGTCTGGGAGCTCGACTATAAGATTTACTACAGTTGATGCCAATAAGATGTTACTCTGATTATTAGTCCTTTCTTAGTTCTTGAGAAAAATTACAATACAAAACAAAATTAAGCACCAACGTATGTCATCAGGAAAGAGGAGACTATTATTTGTCATATTTATGGTGATAGGCGGGCAGGCATCAATCCATCTAAAAGCAATATCAATTTATACAGAAATAATCTGGAAGAGGCCCCAGGACCGACCATACTGTACAGGACTGTATAGTCCTGTTATGCCACTTGGAGTGAAAATTTGATCTGTCTGCAGATCCCCAGGCTCGCCTTGATATGGCATCAGTGTTATGGTGCAGGCTGCGTAGAAGCAATAAGAGTACATAACCAATGAGCTCATGCAGAATGCCTCATAGAACACTCCAGGTTAGGAACCCAAGGGCTGATGAAAGATCCGTGAGGACAGCCAGAAGCTCTGTGTTGAAATTGGTTTTCTGATAATGAGACAGAGTATGGTGATTAGTAAATGGACACCTGGGCCTACAATCTAAGTGTGGATAGTTTATAACGCATGGAAAATAGGTGATTAGGAGCTCTAACTCTGTAATGGGTTGAGAGGGAGTCCCTTGCAGAGTGTTAAAGGGATGTTTGCAGGAACTGGAATTGTAAAGTTAATTTGGTAAATAGTTTGCTAAGAAGAGCCTTATACTCAATAGATTTGGAACAGTTGCATTCTCAAAATTCCCAAAGAATAGTTCATGGTACCTGTTTCAGAATCATTTAGGTTCTCATTAAAAGTGAGTTTCCTGTCCCACTATTTTTTTTTTTTAAGAAATCTTATTGGGGAACAGTGTGTTTTTCCAGGACCCATCAGCTCCAAGTCAAGTTGTTTGCAATCTAGTTTTGGAGGACGCAGTTCCTTGGCTCATGTGGGGATGGAACCGACAACCTTGGTGTTATGAGCCTGCGCTCTAACCACCTGAGCTAACCAGCTGTCCCTCCTGTCCTTCTATTCAATCACACTTCCTGCAGAACAGGACTCTAGAATCTCCATTTCAGCAAACTCTTTGGGTGATGTGTAAATACAAAAGGGTTTAAGGACTGCTGACAGTCCTAGCAATAATGGAGAAGTCTGGATTTTTTTTTAAGTCTTGGTTGATTGAAATGTCCTGAAATCCGAGGAGAAGTGATTACAGGAGGGACAAGTGGAGTACATAGCACCTCCACAGTCATGAGTGAAATGTGCACTTCCTTGATTTCCTTTGCAAAATCTTAAAGTGCCAGGGTTCTCCAATCTGCATTCATGTGGAGTTGTGACAGCTCATAATACATGGATTGAGATTTATTACTACTGTGGGATTTCTCAAACCGAAAAATTGTGTCTCACAATTGGCATATCAGAGATAGACATTTACTTACCACATACTGTAATATGTCTTAGGTTTCAGAAGCAGAAAAAAGTAAAGTCACGAATATTAACTGGGTAGATTTGGGCCTAATACAGGTGAATTATATGTTTTTTCAAGTGATTGTTTGACTTATATTCCAATGATGAGGACATTTAAAACTTTCATGTCTCTAAGGTTTATAATATTGATAATAGCAGGGTTATAGTGCTTCAGGATGAATAAATCATCTCTACAATTTTTGTGATCCCCTGTGACTTTTTTCACCATGTAAGTTTACTAAGAAAGCTAACTTTTCATGTTTCCAGTGGCTAAATTTCAATCTCTTAATTTTGATTGGCTAATTCATAAATCAATTTTGTGGAAAAGTCAAAGATTCACTAGGCCCTAAAAATGTCTTTTTGTTTTTAAAATGTATTTACTCCCTTCTCACTATCCTGGTTGCCAATAAAATGATCATTTATTATTACTGACAGCATGCTTAGCTTTTTATCATTGTATAGTGTTTTAGAGATTCTGCTTCTTTTTAAAAACACAACAAATGCAAAAAAATTTGCTGATAATCAGGGGACTCTCTTTGATAAAGCACTGTACCACTGACAAATTTATTCTCCAGTGACAAAGGGATACATGAGACTCATTCTACCTTCTGTACAGAAAGTTGCAAAAGAAAATTCATTTTCTGGGGACAGATTGAGGAGCAACTTGAGCATTTGGGAGGTCGGGACATATTTTGTTAAGTAATAAAGCTTAATGAATTACCATTTGATATTCCAGATGCAGTACTTTCTCAAAGACCTGAAGTGACTCTCTCTCACTTCAAACACATACTGACTGAGTTGAATTATCTTTATTTAAAAACAAAGAAAAAAGATCTGTTTTTGTAGTTTGCATTGCAATAGTTGACAACTGCAACTTTATTCGGGGATTATTCTCAGGAATGACTCTTCTGTTTTCTTTTTAAATCCAGTTTTTAGTTGTGAAGGTCACTGAGCTTTCATGACACTTATTTTCAACCAAAATAATATTGTTAATGAGTCAATGCCAAAGTCGTAGCAGTATATATCTTTTTATCAAAAATGAGCAAGTATTAAAGGTCTGTAATGTAGTATATTTGTTAACTGACAGTGGCCATATAAGCTAATCATAGGTGACCAAATTTAAAATAGTAGGTGATGAAATATGCTAAGACCAGAACTGTTTTACATACATGACAGACTTTCAAAATTTTTTTTTGGTTTATTTTTGTTTTGGTGGTCCATGGGTTACTTAACAGTCTTTGACTCAGAACAAGATATACATTTTTTGGGGGGTTACTTGTCCACTTGGGAAATAGCAGACTAAAAAGCACACAAAACATTCAGTGGCCTTTTGAGCATGTCCTGATTCTTAAACTACAGGGATCCACAGTATTTTGCTAGAAAATAAGGAGATGATTGATACGAAATGGATTTTTAGGTCATTTCTAATATGATTTTTTGGCTATTCTTAACCTTCACAGATACACCGAGGGGTTAAAGGATTTGTCCGAGACCTTCAAGGTAACCCAATTGCCAATGCAACCATATCGGTGGAAGGAATAGACCACGATGTTACATCTGGTGGGTGCTCTTTGCTGTGATCTGGAGGTTCTAGCATTCTATATAGGAGCATGATTACTTATATCATAATTCTTATGCTGTTCTAAGCAAAACAATTAAATGCATCAGATTTCTTCGCTTTCTGTCTCCCCCATCTTCTATCTAGTTACATTTCCTTTGTGGGAGCAATTCAGGCAGTTACTCAGGATGGCTGCTGCAATTAGAAACAGGTGCAGCAGAGGGCGCCCTTTCCTCAGGTATCTCACTCTGGAGCTGTGAGGTGGTGCTGAGCTTTTGTAGTTTTGGAGGCAAAGGAAAGTGAACTCACTAGAGTTAAAATACCAACGTTGTTCTGATCTCTCTTAAGAAGAGGAGCCCACGAGCTGTTAACTGGTGGAAGTGAAAAGAGTAGGAAAGAAGATAACTGCCGGCATATTGTGTGTCTAAGATTTCCCATACATTTCTTCATTTAATCCATATAATAAATCCAGACTTATTCAAGGTTAAATAGGATGTTACAGGATTGACATTGATGTTAGTTATTTCTTGGTTTAAGCCACATTTCAATTTTCCCAGTTTGGACCAAATGATATATATTCCTGGCAAACCTACCTATTCCTGTTAATAAACATCTATGCACTCGTTTCAGTTTAACTGTTACTTCTTGGGATATTTTCAACAAAATTAATATATAGTTTTTTTTAGCTATGAACTCTTTACATATTTCTGGACCTTATAATTAACCTTTAACTTATTTTCCAAACCACTCTATACCATTACCTCTTTTTTAACCTCCACATTTATAACTTATATTAAAAAAACAAAAAACTTTAACATTTGTCCTCTAAAACTCCATTTATTCAACAATTACTTATCAACAACCCACTAAGTGCCAGCACACCTTCCCAACCATAAACCAGAATCTGTGCTAAGATGTACTCCCTTATCCCTTCAGGAGATGGGCTTTTGACATGGCACCCAGGGGTCCATCCCCTCTGGCCACAAGAAACCTCTCCTATCTGTTAACCCTAGTGCGGAATCCAAATATTATTTTCTCTGCCTTCCATTATGTGGCGATTTTAGTAAAATCTAATGTAGGGAGTAGATACAGGTAGAAAGCAATGCAAATTGAGGATAGGCTTTGGGGCATTCCAGCTTTTCAAGGGCTGGGCAACAAGGAAGACCTAGCAGTGGAGTCTGAGGTAGAGGGAAAGCTGAGTTCAATGCTCTGGAACCCTGGAAGTGTTTCGAGATGGAGGGAGCGCTAAAAAGTGTCAAGTAGGTTGAGCCTTGTGGGTGAACCAGTGTGGAGAATCGTGACAAAATCTGTTTCAATGGAATGGGTGGAGCCTGATTGGGGAGGTCCAACAGAGAATAGGAGGGGAGACTTTAGAAATAGAGAATATTGACAAATCTTTCCAGGCATTTTGCTACAAAGCAAAGAGGGTAAATGAGGCACTAACTGAAAGGAGATGTGGAGTTTCGAGGTAGATTGGAAGAGATGGTGATGGGGACTTGGTTTTTTTTTATTGCTTCTGTTTTCACAGTGAAGTAAGATGTAAAGCACCAGCTGAGAGTGAGGATGAAGAGGACGTGTTAGAGGTGTTAGGAACAAGGAGAAAGTGAATGGCCCACTGAGACTTTGCTATTCAAAATGCAGCCCCCTATCAGCAGCTGAGTTCAGTTGCCCTGGAGCTGGTTAGAAATGCAGAACCTCAGGCCTAGTGAAGTAGAATTCGCATCTTACCCAGCATCCCAGTGATAATGTACTGGTCTAGGAAAATGGGAGCATGAAAGATTACTGATGGACGAACTAGGAGGAAGAAAAGACAGCACCATGACCTGTGTAAGGCTGCTGTGTATGAATCAGAGACAGATCAGCATGGGTGTGTGCTTTCTCCAGCTCCTTGCAGCCACACAGGGTAGGCATAGAGTAGAGTTGGAAATTATCCAGGGTTGGTGACTTGCCAGGCATGAATAACCATGTGGGAAGAGTAAATGAGGTGAAGGCATGTGTGTGAGAGAGATTATAGCGGCGGGCCCTGGAACCTAGTCTCAGGAGGGAACTACAGATACGTGGAGAGTGAGAGAGTGTGAACTGTAACTGCCTAAGAATTCTCCAGAGAACTTGTTGAAATGCAGTTCCTAGAAGGCATTCTGGACCAACATGTTCTGAATCTTTAGAAATATAAATTTCTGACAAGTGCCTCAGGGATTATGGTTAGACTATATTTGGGCCACACTTTTTAAAGCAGTGATTTAGACTCTCAGACCATCAGGTCTTTTCTTGGCAAGATGCTTGGCAAGAAAACATTTTGTCACCTGCTTTGACCCCATTGCTTGGGGACTGTAGATACCTTTTTTACCTGTGTTACTTCTGATGTGATAATGAGGATTCATTAGTTTAGATTTATTAGAACAATGTAACATTAATCTCTGTAAAGTTGCTATGGCAAAGATGCCCTCTAGAGAGTTTCACACTCTTTTTCAACGGAATTTCATCAAATTCCATTAACATCTACTTTAAAAATAGAGAATAAAAGAAGCTGACCTGAGGTATAGTGAGTATTCCTTAGCTGGCGTATTATGCATTTCACATACCTGCCTCATGATTTGATATTTTGATTCCCTACAGCAAAGGATGGTGATTACTGGAGACTGCTTGTACCAGGAAACTATAAACTTACAGCCTCAGCTCCAGGCTATCTGGCGATAACAAAGAAAGTGGCTGTTCCCTATAGCCCTGCTGTTGGAGTAAGTAATCATAATAACAGCTAAGATTTATTAAGTAGTTAACATAGTTAAGTGACTTATATTCAATCTTCATAATAACCGTATGAGGTAGGTACCATTATTATCCCCAATTAACATATGAGAAAACTGAGTCTTAGGAAAGTTAAGTGACTTGATCAAGGGCTTATTGGTTGATTTAATACCACTCATTGTGAAGCTCTGTTATTGTCTCTCGTTTTTAAAAGAGATCCACAAGAAATTCAAATAAAACCTGAAAAAAATTAAACTTTTTTGGGGGGCACATTGATTTCAATCTAAATGAGATTCTGTGGCATTTATCTTTTTATCTCCAACACCTAGTACAATACTTTATACTCAATGAGTATTTAGAAAAATAAATTATGCCTGCAAGATAATTTCAGGCATTAACTAAACATTTATTAAGCACATACTATGAGCATTATCTAAAACCATATTAAATTTAAGTAGATACCATTTATTTTGCTAGGAAGATAATAGTCATGAGACCAAAACTTCTCTCAGAGCAGGATTTTACTACTATCTTTGTATTACATTACTGGAACCATGGTAATGGCTTACAGGATTTTCAATCAAAAGGCTTACCCGAAAATAATTTATTGTACTTTTGTTTATGTACCCAAAGTTTGGAGTATCAATGCTTGGGTTTTGCAAACAAAATATCTTGAGTTTTTAACTGGTGCATTGGTTTTGATTGTGTATATGTACACATTTGATTGTATATGTATTAAAATTGGAAGGTGAACCTGGGCAAATGAAACCTGGAAAAAAGTAGTCCCAGAAACAGGTTGTGAACGTTTCAGCCATTTTGACTCCTAGCCTTTCTAGCATGTGTTACTTTAAGAAGGTGGTGAGGGTCATCATGTTCCTAAATAACCAGGGGTAGGGGCTGGCCGAGTGGCTCAGTTGGTTAAGAGCTCACTCAAGAGTTTGAGCTCTGAGCAACAGCGGTTCGAGTCCAGCCCGAGCTGAGCAGCCGCTGAGCTGCCAACAGGTAGCAGGATGGCTCAGCTAAAAAAAAAAAATAATAAATAACCTAAATAACCAGGAGTTTAAGTGGCTAAATCAAGGGACTCTTAGTTCCATCTGTAATGGAGGCATAGATACCTAGAGGGCTGGAGGAGGATCGGGGTTGGGGGCTGCATGTTTTGAACTTCTTTTATGCAGAAGTGTATGGGTTCTCTACAGACCTGATGAGGCCACCCAGTTCTCAAGAAGAGTTGAGTTCCTGGGCCTCTGACGTCTGTGGTGGTTTGGAGATGTGTGCTGCCGTCAGTTTCTTTAGCAGATTCAAAATTTTGGAAAGCACAACCTTGTGGTTTGGGATGCCAGGACACTGAACTGCATTCTTCCATGTTCCCTTAGCTGTTAGGAGAAAATTCAAAGTTGACAGGAGAAGCTCACTGAATATTTAAAGGCAGAAAATTAATTATAAATTGTATCTTTTTACTGGGGGAAAAGACTGCCTTTAAGTAATCTGTCTTTAAATAATCTACTTTTAATAATCCTATTAGATCAAAGCACATTTCAAACATAATGTCTTTTGATGTTTTCTTCTTTTTTTTCACTGAAAGTGTCTTTCATCACAAGAGATTTTTTAAGATATGCTTTAATTTAGGTGGCTAGATTGAGCTTATCCTATAAGCTCTAAAACTGCTCTTATTATTATTATTATTTTTTAATTTCAGCTTTTAAAACTACATATGTACTTTGATAACAATATATTCCTGATTTTCAATTTTAGGTTGATTTTGAACTGGAATCATTTTCTGAAAGGAAAGAAGAGGAAAAGGAAGAATTGATGGAATGGTGGAAAATGATGTCAGAAACTTTAAATTTTTAAAAAGGCTTCTAATTAGCTGCTTTTATTCTATCTCTATAATGTAGTATGATGTATTGTGGCCATTTTCTTTTAGATTTTGTGCAGTTAATATTTAACATTGACTTATTTTTTAATCATTTAAATATTAATAGACTACTTAAAATAAATACTTAGACTCTTAGGTAAAAATATAATAACTTGGTCTCTTTCTTCTCTTATATAACATTCATTTTCCTACATATATTACACGAAGGATTGTAGAAAAGATTGAAATGATTTTGCCATGTTAGACTTAAATGCAATATTCACATTATATACAAGACAGAACTTTTTGAGTAATTCTAGCTTTTAAAAATTAATGAAATTCTTTTAATGTAATTGGTGACAATGTCACATAATGAATGCCATTGAAAAGGTCAACAGCTGTAGCTTGGAGTTGTGAGCACTATACTGAAAGACTTAAATAGCTCAGTATAAACTGTCATTTGTCTCTTGTGCTGACTAGCTATATAAGCATGATTTTGCTAATGCATTTTTTTTTGATGGGAAGAAAATATAAATGTTTAGCAAGAGGTATTATAAAGGAAATGGAAATTGACTTCTTGCTTGTACATATAAGGGCTATCCTGCTATGTCATTCAGCCTGTTAGCACTATGTCAAAGTTTAAGGTTTCCTCTTGGTTGTTGATTGGCCCAGAATTGCATTCTAAATGAATAAAGGTAAAAAAAAATATATATATATATATCCCCATGGTCTGCATTTTAATTCTCTGATTTTTGGTCTAGAGTTGTGGTCTCATGATAAAAGTATATTCCCTTGATAGCGGCCTCTTATTTGTTCATCCTCTATATTTTTAAATTTATTAAACTGACTGCTTTATGCCAAGCACAGTGGAAGTTCTCTGTATATTATTGTGGTGGACAAAAGGCTCTGATTCCTAGGATCTTATGGATCAGTTGTGGACATAGACTTTAAATATCTACACAAATAAATATGTAATTATGCATTGTGATGAGTAAAATGACAGGAAAGAATAGTGTGTGCAGAAAGAGAATGTCAGAGCAACTTAAATTAGACTGGATGAGGGGACCCAGGGATGGCCCCTCAAGACATATAAGCCCAGACCTAAGATATGAATAGGAGTGAGCAATGCAGAGTGACTGAGTGTAGGGGTGTTGTGTGTGTGTGTTGGTACTGTTGATCAATGTTCCAGGTACATGTTTTTTTGTTTTCTTTTGTTTTTTTTTTATATAGTGTTAACTGTTGTAATAATAGACTCCCAAATATATTAATGGCTTAAGCACAATAAAAATATATGTCTTACTCAGGTACCTGTACTGGGCAGAAGACAAAAAGATGAGATGGCTTTTTTCCACAGTCATCCTGGGACTCATTCTGACAGAAGATCTGCCATCTTCTGCATGTGGCCACCAAAGTTGCATGGTGGACATCTCCACTGCAGACAGTGGGAAAGAGGAAAGAACGTAGAGGAGCACATGTGGGATGTCCCTAGGAGTCATGCCTGGAAGTGATATATATTCTGCTCACATCACATTGCCTAGAATTGTATTCCCTAACTGCAGTGGAGTCTGGGAAATGTAGTCTAGCAGCACACCTAGGTGGTTGAGGAGACTGTGGTCTTTGGTGAGCATCTAACAGTCTTTGATAGAAGGGACAGCAGGTACAAAAGCATCAGGGGAGGAGAAAACATGGCTTGTGGCTGGAGGACTAAAAGTAGCACAGAATAACGAGGCAGAGATGTGGAAGGTGGGAGTAAAGAGCAGAAAAATAAACAGGGACAATGTCACATAGGACCTGGTGGACCAGTATTGAAAATTTAGGATTTTGTTTATAGAATCACTGAATATTTTTAAACTAAGAAAGGACATGATCTAATTTGTGTTTCAAAGGCCATTCTGGCTGCTGTGTAGAGAGTAGAAGCAGTAGTAGAATCTAGTTATGAAGCTACTGCAGGGGTCCAGAAAAGCAGTGACTTGGGTCAGGCAGTGGCAGTAGAAATGAGAAGGGGTGGGTAGGTTTGTGATATATTTCAGAGGTATATTTGACAGGTCTTGGTGAGAGATTAAATGTGGGTGAGGAGGCAGAGGTTGGTGTCAAAGATACATCATGTTTCTAACTCAAGCAGATGGATACATGCATGTAGCATATTGGAGAAGCAGCAGATTGGAAAAGATGAGAAGAAAAGATTTTTAGTATAGGAGATGTTAAGCTTGAGATGCCTGTGCTTGTGAGATATACAAATGGAGGTGTTGAGAGTTATGGTTGGTTATGCTATGTATGAGGAAGCCTGGGGTTGGAAATATAAATAATTATTTAATTATCCAAACCCTAACAGTTCGGAGAATGAAAGGGGCACACCGAATTTTGCCAGCACCCTAGGTATAATCCAGAACTATCTGGGGCAAGCTAGGAGTAGGGTTACCTACATGTAGATGGTATTTAAAGTTGTGGAAATATATAAAATCCCATAGAAGGAGTCCAGAGAGTTAGAAGAAAAATATCAGGACTGAGCTCTGAGGAACTTCAGAATTTGCTCCTTGTAGTTTCTGTAAGACAGGATAAGCCAGGCTACATTGTAAGAAGCAACCCTAAATCTTAGTGGTTTAACTTAACACTAATTTATGTTTCACGAAAAGTCTGTATGTCCATGTAACTCTCCAGGAAATATGTCTTAACATTAGTGACTCAGCAACACAGAATGTTTTCAGGCTTGTGGCTTTGGTGTCTCAAACTAAGGTTTCCTCAGCCTCTGGTCTTAGTCACAGGAAGAGCTACCTGAAGTCACTTCTGTCCACAGCTCATTGGCTGGAGCTAGGCACACGGCTTTGTTTAGCCACCATTTTTGGTGAGCAACACTGTCACCACCATAGTCTTCCCTTCTGATCTCCCACATAACTTTGCTCCCTTTTTTTTCAAACATAGGTTTCACTTAACTTCCACACAGGGGAGGCAACACAAAGTCACACCAAATCAAGGCTTTGAGCTTCAAGTTGGTGATTTTGAGTGATCCCACCGTAGCCTCTGTATCAGGTCTGCATATGGCCACTCTTGCTCCAGAAACCTATGGACTAGAAAGACAGGTTGTGTGCCTTCCTCACACCCAACATGTAATGATAGAACAGGGTCAAGACGACATCAGTAAACACTGCGTTTAGGACAGCGAAGAACAGGAGGTGCACAGCATTTACTGGTCTGCAGCAATTCTGAAATCTTGCCAAACAGACATTTTATAGGCCTCCTCTACTGGGGATGGAGAATGTTCCTGGTTTCAGAATTGATTCCATGCTCTGGAAAGCGCTTCCTTCTCTCATCATTCTCCACGGCCATGGCCTTGCCCTCTTGAACTCTTTGCCTCTTATTCACTCAGGACCTAGGTTAAGAGGTTCCACCTGGCGTAGCTGCCCCATCTGGAATGTGAGAACTCCGCAGTCACTGCAGAAGAGGAAAAGTGAAACTGAAGGACCAAGAACGGGCTTTTCATTGCCTTAGCCTGCAGGTGACACGTATCAGCCCTGCTCACAATTCATTGGCTAGGACTAATCACCTGGTCTCGCCTAACTGAACAGGATGCAGCACATATAAGCAGGCGCAAGTAGAATGTATGTCTAAGACGAAATCAACTACCCAGTCAGAGACTGGAAGGACATGTAGTCTTCTCCTTACAACCATTTGTGATTATGATGCAGGTTTCAAAGGTTCCCACTATCCTGGTCGTGCTCTCAATATGCTCTGATTTTATTTAACAAAGGGTGTAGAACTGAGTGTTGTTGAGAAGGAAACTTCTTTCATTTGGTCAATATTTCTGGGCTGAAGGACCTCCACTGGAATAAGACTCCTGGCTTCTAGTTCCACCCCTGACTGACTCCGCCCTACAGCGAAGTCAGGTGATGACAGGTAAGCTAATTTTTAGGCGATGACAGGTGAGCTAATTGGGTGGAACAACTCTATAAAAGGGCTGTAAGCTTCCGCTTCCCTGACCTTCCTTGCTGCAGGCAGAAGTAGCTCTGAACTCTCCGGTGGGCCCTGAGGTAGGCTTTGGCTTTGGGTGTGGGTGCTGGGATGGTGGAAGGATTTGTGGACTATTGATTTTCATGAAATAATGCACACATTTTGAACTTTGCTCCCCCCAACCCATTGTCAATGAAAATTAGACACATTAATATGGAAGGAATAGCTATTCTCAACTCACATTTTGCCTTTCAATTTTTCACATAAACAAAGATAAACATTACTTGCAGAAAGGGAAATACAAACCTTGATATTCATATTTTATTTATACAACTTCTGAAATCTGTCCATCGTTTCATGTTGTGGGAGGCTTAAAACCCCTCATTTGTTCCAACATATGAATCAACTTCTCTTTTCACAATTCTCATAAGGATTGTCTTCTGTGGTTAGGGCTGGCTGGCATTTGGAGTTTCTGCCTCAGAAATGTCAAGATGTCTGGACTTTTAGGTCTAACCTTGTAAATATGCTATATCCTAGTTTTGCCATTCTTATGTAAACATTATTTTAGGCACTTACAAATATTCTTCTTTACCCTTTATTTCTTTCTATTAGACACTCTGAGTCAACTTAATGATAACATGGGTTTCTAGTATAGTCCATACTTTAGTTTTATGTGATTAATTAAAATCGGTGCAAAATTCCCTGAGAGTCAGTGTTCTTAAAAACAGGGCAAAGATTTTGGCTTAGCTGGGTTAAGGGTTGCCAGTGCAATGTAAACTGATACTGAATGTGGTCTGTAATGCCTCCGAAAAGGAAAATCACCTTGATGGAACTTACTGGAAATTTCCATGATGCTGTGGCACATATAGTCAGAGAATTAATATATGTAAAGCAATTAGAAAACTGCCTAGCATGTAGCAAGCGGTCAAAATGTAATTATTATTATTACTCAACAATGTGTTGTTATTACTCAAAATATAGTCTTCTTATTTCTCAAACATGTGTTATTATTTTTATTATTGCTGCTACTATCGCAAGGTAAGTTAGGAGCTTTGGTATTGAGAAACTGGGACGGTGGAAGAAACCCAGGTAAAAGATCCACAGGTGCGACTAGTGCTTGAAAGAGCCACAGGTGGGACTAGTTTTCAAAGAGCTGTGGTGTAATATTGGGATGTAGAGAAGACTCTCGGAGCTGTTAAATATCCCTATGGTATGTCACGATTTGTCTAGGCACCTGAGGTTAACTTGAATCAGCTGATGGTATTCAGGGGGAAAGCAAAGAGTATGGATCTCATGCAAAAAAGTATTCTTTAGTAATAATTTTAGTATCAACTATAGTAGTATTTGAATAACTTAGATTATTTAAAATCAGCATTTGGATTTTTCTACTCACCATTGTGTTTCACCAGCAACCATTTAATATTAAAGCCAGAATGATAAAAGAGACATAAAGCCATAATGAATTTATCCTTTAAGACTTGTGAGGCTGTTGCCCAACCTGCATTGTGAAAATATGATGTTTCTGAAATGTTAACACCTACGTGTCCTGTGGAGATGACAGTGATAGAAGATGGAGGGTACACACTTGCAGGTATAAAACAAATAAATTACGGGAATATTATGTACAGTAATGGTGACTGTAGTTAGTTAATACCACTGTATTGCATATTTGAAAGTTGCTAAGAGTAGGTCTTAAAAGTTGTCATCACAAGGAAAAAATTTGCTGACTGTGTATGGTGATGCAGTTAACTAGACTTATTGTGGTGATCATTTCATAATACATACCAATGTTGAATCATATTGTACACATAGAACTGATATAATGTTATATGTCAATTATATATCAATCTAAAAAATGATAGAAGATGGAGGGACTTTGCCCAGAAGTTCTGGGTAATTGGATGTGAATGTCTATCCACAGATATTT